CGGAAGAGAAAATGTTGCGCAGATCACAAAAAGGATATGTACGAGTGCTACGTCATTCTGCATATGGCGACGTACCGCGGGCTGGACGATGCGATGGCGGCGCACGACGGAGCAACGTTGCGACGGAGGGGGGGCCGCTGCTTCGGAACTGTCGTTAGTGGTACCGGCCAATCAATCTACACGCGCAGAACATCGGGCGGAGGGGATATAAGTGCGAAACAATCGCACGACAAACAGAGCACGCAACTTCGTTCTGGTCGTCGTCTGCTTCGCACCCCGAAAAACAGAGAAAAAAAATGCGGTCGGGTGCAGCCGAATGACTTCCGGCCATGAGCTTTCGTGCTCGTGTATTAATTTCGGTCTTGAACATTTTTTTTCTTGATTAAAAATGTATGTGATTCCGTAATAAAACACTGATTAGGTAGCATCCTGACCGCATAATAAATCGCCTTGCAAAAATGTTTTTGGGGGTGTTTGTGTTTTTTTTTTTTAGAGTGCAATTTATAATGTCCCTGTCATGTCCGATATATATGTGTCTGCACAAGGTGTATTTGCTATGTTACTTCACGCAGACAATAAAAAAACATCTGACCCTGATGAAATTCCTGCTGCATTTATGAAGAGGTATTCCGAATTGATTTTCATGTTTTTATGTGTCATATTTAAGTCCTCCTTGAAGGATAAGATTGTTCCGAGTGACTGAGATTATTCGCGCGCGGCACCAGTTCCAAAGGCTGGTGATAAGCTCTGCCTTTCAAGCTACCGACTGATATTTTTAACGTGTATATCTTCCAAGCTCCTCGAGCACATAGTGAACAAGCATATTGCCGATTACCTGGGAAGCAATACATTTTTAAGCGACACCTAGCATGGTTTTTGACGCGATTGCTCTGCAATCACCCAGCTTATTTCGACTGTGCATAATTTGGTTAATGTTATTAATGATAAAAGGCAAGGCGGTGTAGTCTTCATATACTTTTAAAAGGCCTTTGATACCGTAGCCTATGACGCATTACTTGTGAGGCTGAAAGCAGACGGACTTCAAGAAAATTTAACACACGGGATAACTTAAGCAGCAGAAAGCAATCTGTTAAAATTGACGCTACTGGTTCTCTCCACCTGGATGTTTTTCTGAGTTCCCCAGGGATCAAATTTAGGCCCGTTGATATTTCTTGTCGATATAAATGATATTGTTAAAGACAATGATCAAACACGTGGAAAATTTTGAGGATCAATCGATGTTTAATAACGCTCTTTTGTGGTGTCTGGATTGTGCGAAAAGTAAAAACATGCAACTTAATCTTCAAAAGACGGTATGCATTACGTTTCCTAAGATGAAAAGTAACATAATTAATGACTATGCTTTTAATAGCTATCTAGTTTTCAGAGTTGACCACGTAAAGCTCTTGGGTCTAACGCTCACACCCAGCCTTCGATGGAGTATGCAGATAGGTAATCTATTGCCGCGCGCGCAGTAGGCACCGCGGGCGTGGCCCAACGGTTATCGTGCCTGCCTCCCACGCAAAGTGCCCGGGTTCTCTTCCTGGAAGCGACGCGCCTTTTGTTTATCCTTGCAATTTAATGTTCTAGTAGATTCGAGAATCCCGTTGCTTGTTCGAGGTGCGAATGTTCTCGTCGCCGAACCTTCTAGGCCGACTGTTCCAGAAACCAACGCGTGTACATAAGGGGCCCCGCATGGCGATCCTGAGTCAGTTTCGCCCCACCGTTCGACTCTGCTGCTACGCCGACTTCGACGCCCGCGACGCTCTGTTATTATCTTTTGTACCCTTTTATTTTTTGCACAAGTTCGCCACACTGAGCGTTTATTTCTTCCTGTTTATTTATTGTTTTTGGTCACCACCCGTGACAATATGTATATCTGTCTTTCGAAAACTTTGTTTTATAACGAGGAAACTTAGGCTGGGCACCAGCACCAAGAAGGTTGACTTCATACAAAACTTTGATTCAACCAGTATTGGAATACGCCACCGCTGTATGGGATCCGTGTACCAAAATCGACCCTTATAAAATTGAACCTATTTGAAACCAGATTTTAGGTTTTATATATGGCAGATGCAAAAGGACTGTTTTTTTATCAATTGTCCTCGTCGAATATTGAGCCGTTTTGTTCCCACTTCAGCTATCTAGACAAAGGCTTTTGTTTTCTATTGTGGACAGCCAGACTGGTATCGACCCTTCCTCGTACTTGTTCCCTCCGTTCAAACACTCCACAAGAACGAACTATTTGCGCCATATCCAATCCTTTCGATCGTCGTTAAATGTGCTTAAATATTAATCTTTTCCTAGAACAGTAGATGATTGGAACAATTTACAGAGTGAGGTAGTTGAATGCGCTACAGTTGAACAATTCGCCGATGCCTGCTTTTCTTTTTTACATTTATAAATGTGATGCACTTGAACAAATTCTTACAAGTCATTGTTTATAGCATATACATTTTTGGTTTTTGTTAGTACTCAAAAAATTGTCACGAGTCATCCCGTGGTGTTTTCTTTTATCATTGTTCTGGTTCCGCAGTGGTTTTTAGGGTGGGGACCGAACAGTCACGCCTCTAGCGCTGCGTGTCAGCTGTGGAGCAAAATCAAGGAAATTGTTGTGTGTATGTTTATACAGCATGAAGTTAGTCTGCCTCAGTGGGCGTCTGGTGTTTCAGCTGTAGATGAGCAATTTAGCCAGTGCAGTACGACTGCTAACCTGAGGTCTTTAACGTGCATCACGCAGTAGTGATACACGACCGCACGCCGGTACAATGCTCATCGAAACGGGCAGGGGTGGGGCTTGAGCCCAGGATCCCTGGGTTCTGTAGCGCGAGCTTTCTCTCCACACGCGTCGAGCTGGGTGTGCGCTTTAGCTCACTAGGCCACCGATCCACTAGCTATGGAGACCACAAACGGAATTTCCGTGTTTGTTTTTGATTGGAGCATTCGAAGGTCGCTCCTCGTGCGGCCAAAGCGCTGGTCAGAGCGAAGCGCTCGTTCCCAGGCCGTGCTAGGCGAGGTACAATCTCTTTGATATGCTGTGTTAGTAAACACCGGGCTGTGGGGACAACAAGCTCGATAAAGCACCCCCTAGAGTTCAATCTCCTGCCCAACAGCGCCGGCTTTTTGTTGCTCGCTTCTGTCACTTGTGTTATTTTATATTGGGGCTTACTGCCTCGCGATTTGAACGTTAATGGTAGCAAAAATTGTCCGCAGTGGCACTCTATATTGTAGCACCTTGCTTGGGCCTGCAAGCAACCTGCAGTATATTGTAAATTAAAAATAAATAAATAAGTGGAAGCTCCTCTTACCTCTTACCGAATTCTGGAGAAGAGGTCACGTCCTCTCCAGCGTTCGCTCTGCTAAAGTGGAAAGAGGTGAAAGGAGCTTCTCTTTTTTTCTTAACTTCTCATCCACTATAATCTGACCACGTGGCGGAAAAGTCGGCGTGGAGTCCGGCGACCGTGATTGGTCGGAGCCGCGCTTGAACATCGCGCCGGCAAATCACGACGGTTGAATTCCTCGCCGACTTTCGCGCCAACACTCTCAAGAAAAAAGGGTGTCAAAAGGTGTACTGTTACACCCTTTGTCCCACATAATACACCCCAAAATTTCAATTCGACGTACAGCGCCCTACAGTCAAACAGTTGGCCCGACATTTTGCGAGGGGCTTGATAGCTGTGTGGTACAACTTATTAAAATAGCTAACGTACGTTTTACTGACAACAAGAAAAATAATCGGGGTTTTCTTGGCCCTACCGTAAAAATTCGGTGTTTTCTTTATCTGGTCTTTGATACGTACTTTAGCTATTTAAAATGTTGTACCACACGGCTATCAAGCCCCTCGTAAAATCTCGGGCCGTCTGTTCGACTGTAGGGCGCTGTACGTCGAATTGAAATTTCTGGGTGTATTATATGGGACAAAGGGTGTAACGGTACACCTTTTGACACCCTTTTTTCTTGAGAGTGAAGCGTCTAGACTCTAAGAAAAGCCCGTGCGTCTACTTTTCCGCACAACACTCGGAGAGCTAATCACTGCAACGTACGGAGGCAGCTCAGCGAATGACGATGCCGAAACAATTATTTAGACCAAAAAACGCAGTCTGAGTTACGGCATTAAGCAACTCAAGCGGGACGTTTCGCATTGCTTAATGTTGCAACTCAGACTGCGTTTTTTGGTCTAAACATGTTTCGGCATCGCTATTCGCTGAGCTGCCTCCGTAAGTTGTGGTGATTGCTTCCCGAGTGTTGTGTGGGAAAGTAGACGCGCTTGTTTTTTTAGAGTGTAAAACAGAGCCCCCCAGGAGACGCGACGGGTGTGACATAAGGCGTCACGCATGCGTCGTCGTACATCTCTGATCCCTCGGAAGCGCGCGCGCAGGGCCGTCGTGATCCGAGCGTGTCATCGTGTCGCCCGCTCGCTCATGGCCTATTTGCAACTGCGCTCGCGATAAATAACAAATTTACACATATCTAAGTGCCCCGCATGATTTCCTAAGGTTGAAAAAGTTTCCTTCCCTTCATACTTCAATGAAAGATGCACATTTCGCAAAAGCAAAGCAAAAAAAAAAAAAAAAATTGAAAAAAAAAGAAATGTTTTTCTTTTTGAGCTCGGCGCTCCAGAGGGCCGCTTGTCCGCAAGCAGGAGGGTAACATTTTCCGCACATGACTCCTTCTCCGCGAATGAGGAGTTACCGCGCGAAATAAAAGCGATACGCTGGCTCCGCCGTTTAGTTTCTCTACCTCCACTAAACTCTGTTTCACCTTCTGCTGTACCGCAGAAAAGGCTACAAGCGCGAGCTCCTTGCTCTAGGGCACATCTCGGCGGCACAAGCTCTCGTGCACCAAGGGCAGCTGCCAACGCTGTGAGCTCTCGCTTCTAGCCTTCGCTGCGGTACAACTTAAGGTGAAATGGACTGTAGTGATGCACAGTCCTTGTCTTCTAGATGACAGCACTGGTATAAGCTCAAGAAGGTACACCCAGACCGAGACGAAGCACTCACCGAGTATGGCCGTGAAAAGCGGCATCGTGTTGAGCAGCAGCGAGAACTCGGCCAGCGGTAAGGCAACACTGCCCAGCGTGAACGTGAGCGCCCGGAACGACAGCACCACAGCGACGGCAACGAGGCCTAACCGGTAGCCCGGGGCGGGCCATAGCCGAGGTCTCCAGAAGGCGAGCGCCGGCAGCAGGTAGAAAACCGCGGCCAAGCTCCGCAGTCCGGACACCGCCAGCGGCTGGATCATCAGCACCATGCTGATGAGGAGGCCGCCTACGCTGATGGCCAACCCCGTGCCCAGGGCGGCTATGATGCCGCCGGCCTCGCGACGGGCTGCGTTGGCGACCTGGTGCATGCTGCTGCGCCGCCGTAGTAGGGCCCGGGGAAGGTGCGTCGACTTGCCAGACGCCTCCTTGAAGGATTCCGCCGTAGGGCCTGGTCAGGAGAAAAGAAAGGAACGCTAATCAGCGCCATGCTCGCCGTCTCTACAAAAAATTGGGTTGTGTGGTATGTTTATACAGCCTAGAACTTGGTCTGCCTCACAGGGGCGACGAGTCTCCCAGCTGTAGATGAGCAATTTAGCCAGTGCAGTACAACCGCTAGCCTGGGATCTTTAACGTGCACCACGCAGTAGTGATACACGACCGCACGCCGGTACGATGCTCATCCAGATCGAAACAGGCAGGGGTGGGGCTCGAACCCAAGATCCCTGGGTTCTGCAGCGCGAGCTTTCGCTCCACATGCTCCGAGCTGGTGTGCGCTAGCCCGCTCGGCCACCGATCCCCCCGCCGTGTCTACAGTGTCACTGCACTGTGTGTTCTACGGGTAAACGAACACTCGAGTGTCGGCCGGAGAGACTGCCTGGCGCAGTCTGGCGGCTCACGCCGCTCTTTTTGTCTGGTGTTACGCTCGCAGTATGAACGCGGTGACCGATGTTTGCTAAGGAGACAGCATAAAAAGCGAACGGTACCTGCTAACTTTTACATTATTTGCCGGTGTCAGACAATGTTCACTCAGCGGTGCAAGATACGCCGAATACAAACACCACCTTCTGCTGTGGTCCGCACCGTTCTATAACGGGTGATAACAGCAATGAAGTTGTAATGAAACGCTAAGCAGGGTGGCAAACATTAGAAAAGAGGAAAAACAAACAAACAGGAGGTCCTGCAACTTGTACTGAGGAGTGGTCTTTGGAAGAGCCGCTTTATCTCTGCAGTATCATTGCTTTCATCGTTAGGCATTGATAATATTAGTTCGGGCCACTGTTCGCGTGTTGTATCCAACAGTTCAGCGCACCGCACAGTCATGGCCAATGCAGGCTGAAACGATCGTGCGGCAACCGAACGATGCCGGTGGCGCTGCCCCGACGCCAGGAGTTAAACTATCAACGAGTAATAGCATGTGGACGAGAGTGTGCAGTGGCCACTGGTATCTGACGCAACCTGTTCGATTTCCGCGTTGTTGCAGCGCTTCAATCTGCAGCTGGCCACTTTTTGCTGCCGCCTACTATGGCTCGACGCTGCCTTCATTATCTGGGTGCGTGGTCCAGGCCACGGTGGAGCAAGTAGAGATTTCTGAAGGGTGTCGGGCCTTGCCACGGAACAAGTGTGACAAAGGTTCGCTCGCATTTCTGACAAACTTCGTGAGATGCGCAGCATTACTAAGGACTCGAGGAACTGTCCTTATTCGCGCACAGATTTTCAAGGCCACGCGGCGCGCGACCCTGCAGGGAAATGAGCGAAGCCCAGATGGAACTCCAACCCCATTTCTTGTCTTGTTCAGAAACCTAGCTAAGCGGTTTTTACAAATGTATGAACGAGCAAAATTGATTATAACAGCCAACGCGGATGGTAGCAGTACCTCCAAAGACATAGCGAGGAACTCGCAAGCGTGATCCGGATGAGTAATACCCCATTCGCAGGGTTAGCATAAAAGCACCTTTAAAGGGGCACGTAAACAAAAATGTTGCACTCATTTCTTTGTTTAGATGTTGTATACGTGTTTCCGCCAGCCCAGAAAAAACTAGTCAAGGCTTCGAGGCTACCGGAAGAAAAGTCAAGAAAGCTAATTTTAGAACGAATTAACATATTTCAAGATTGCGCCTGGGGCGCTTTGTGAAGCTCTCTTGGATTGCAATCATGCCACGGGCCTCAAAATGCTCTGTTTTGTTATACTTAAAATCAAATCAAATCTGTTTATTTTCTGCCACAATAATACATTCGTGACGAGGGCGCTGGAAAAAAAAGCTGCACGTTTGCAGCTTGACGAGTCCCAGCGCCCTAATACAAGGCAGCAGCGGAGCTGACATGAATATAAAAAAAAAAAAAAACGCACAGTATATAACAATCACAAAAAAAAAATCTTCTCAAGTACACAGATTTAGAGCTATCTGAAACGTAAATAGTGATTTTATATTACAAAATGTTTTGTATTGTACGATTATTTACAGAGTATGTATCAATTCCGTGAGAAAAAAGAAAGTTTAACAATAGCGGTAGTTGGTACCGGTTTCTCTGAGTGCTGAAATTTGTTCTAAATACAGGAAGACGCCAGGGGGGCCTATGACGCGATAGGTGAATGAACTCATTTTTTTTTTCTAATTTAGCAAGGTCTAAGATTATGCTAATATTTTTTCTTACACATTGTTGGTAATTTGAAATCAACCCAGAGGAATACATACTATATATATCAATTATTTTATGTTTTTCAAAAAGAGGAAGAGAGTGATAATCACGAGGTACATTTTAAATTATTCTAAGAGCCCTTTTCTGTAAAAGACGCAATTTGTCTAAATTGCTCTTAGTAGTTGTTCCCCAGACTAAATGGGAATAGCAGGTTACAGAATGAAAAAGGGAATTGTAAATTAACCTTTTGATGTTTACGGGAAGTATATGCCTGCATTTATTCATAATTCCAACAATTTTAGAAAGTTTCTTATGAATGTATGTTACGTGATTATTCCATGACATATGACTAGAAAATACAACACCGAGAGTCTTAACGGTATCAACACATTCTATTGTGCATGACCCAAAATACAAATCACGTGATATTCGAACATACGATCCCGGGCATTGAAATAGGACATCCTTAGTTTTAGCGGTATTAAGAATGAGAGAGTTAATATTTATCCAATTTTTAAATTTAAGTAGGACAACGTTTGCTATAGAGGTAAGTAGGTCTTCTTTGAAACGAAAAAAAAAAAGAATATGCTAGTATCGTCGGCGTACATAATAAATTTAGCGGTATTTTCGATGTTTACTATATCATTCACGTATACGAGAAACAATAGAGGCCCTAGAATACTACCCTGAGGAACCCCGGAGTAAATTTGTTCAGTAGTAAATGCATAATTTCTAATTCGAACGTATTGGGATCGATATTGTAAATAAGATGTTATGAGCGATAATGGGAGACCTCAGATGCCATAACGCTTAAGTTTATTTAGAAGAATTTGGTGATTTATCATATCGAAAGCTTTGCTTAAGTCTATAAATATACCCAACGTTAGAAGTTTTTTTTCAAAATTTTCTAATATTATTTCCTTCTGCACCAATAACGCAGTTTCCGTAGATTTGTGTTTCCTGAAGCCGAACTAAGAATCAGTCAGTAGTGAGTATTTTACAAAAAAAAAAGTAGTAGTCGAGAGTGCACAATTTTTTCAATCGGTTTCGAAAAGACAGGAAGGATAGATATGCGTCGATAATTACCTATGTCATTGCGATCACCACCTTTATACGCTACGGATACTTTCGCAATTTGCATCCTTCTAGGAAATTTACCAGAAGACGATATAAGATTGTACAGATGAGTTGTACATGGTAATAGCAAGTCAACTACAAATTTCACCAGCACAATTTGAAGATCCTCACAGTCATGGCTGCGACTGTTTTTTATATTCATGAAAGTAGATATTACTTCTTTAGTATCACACGGGTTTAAAAACATGGTTTCGTTTATTCTGGGGATATTATTTGCTGCAGAACTGTTATAACCACTTTTCCCTACGCTCACAAAATAATCATTGAATATATTCGTCAGTTGTACACCAGAAATAGTTCTATTGCCTATACTTATACTAGTGGCTGCTCTATCTTGAGTTGGATTCCGTATTAAAGAGTGCAAATGTTTCCATACGACTTCGGGTTGCTTTAAACATGATATATCAAATAGATCGGTATAATAACGGTGTTTTGCTCGTTTCAATTCTGCATTGACAAAGTTCGACATCAGGCGTAGCAAACGCGGCGTAGTGCAGTGTACACAGATGTTGATTTGTTTGTTTTCTTATTTGCAGAAAGTACAGAGTACAGGATACTGGTCCCAGATATCGAGTTCCTGCTCGCCGGCCAATGAAAAGCCCTCGTTCTGCGCTACCTTCGATCGCTGTGCTCAACGTCGCGTACACGATTGGCTCTCACTTTCCCCCCTATTCTCTTCTTAGAACGCTTACACACACACACACACACGCTCAAAGTCGGAGTATAGCAGACCCTTAGCAGCGCCAGTCCGCGGCAGTATGGCTTGCTCCTGAAGTTACTTAGTCCTGTCTGTCTATGCTGGAAAAAGCGGTGAAGAAACTGCATCGTGACGTCGCAGGTGGGAGGAGCCTAATCTCCATCGCCAACAAACTACATCGGAAAATTATAATGCAATTAAATGCAAAGGGGCAAGCGAGCTGGACAATAATGATGAAAATAAACCCTGGAGAAGGGGAACAAGAGGGACAAGGGACAAACATGAATCTCCAAACACAGCTAGGTGACTGGTGAGCGACCGAAAAAATCCGCCTGGTCCGGGTATCGAACCCGGGACCTCTCCATTACAAGTGGAGCGCTCTACCAACTGAGCTAACCAGGGGTTAGACGTCAGTAGAGCAAACGGGTTTTATCAGCTGCCACCAGTCTAACACCAACAAGGGTGAAGCTTGCAATTTAATGTTGTAATTATAATGCAATTAAATGCAAAGGGGCAAGCGAGCTGGACAATAATGATGAAAATAAACCCTGGAGAAGGGGAACAAGAGGGACAAGGGACAAACATGAATCTCCAAACACAGCTAGGTGACTAGTGAGTGACCGAAAAAATCCGCCTGATCCGGGTATCGAACCCGGGACCTCTCCATTACAAGTGGAGCGCTCTACCAACTGAGCTAACCAGGGGTTAGACGTCAGTAGAGCAAACGGGTTTTATCAGCTGCCACCAGTCTAACACCAACAAGGGTGAAGCTTGCAATTTAATGTTGTAATTATAATGCAATTAAATGCAAAGGGGCAAGCGAGCTGGACAATAATGATGAAAATAAACCCTGGAGAAGGGGAACAAGAGGGACAAGGGACAAACATGAATCTCCAAACACAGCTTGTCCCTTGTCCCTCTTGTTCCCCTTCTCCAGGGTTTATTTTCATCATTATTGTCCAGCTCGCTTGCCCCTT